TCGGCTGTCTGGTCTAATTAGCATATTACGTTTTTATTATTATAGATAAGGCTAAAGACAAAAATTTCGTCAGTAAATGTGTTTTTCACAGGGACATGGGTTACACATTTGGAAACTAAGTTGTGTGTATTCCAGAACTGAATACAAATAAGTAAATATATATTCTAAACAATAAGAACGTGTTCTTCACTGCTGAAGGAAGAAGTTACGAAGGAAAGAGGAAGGATACAATGGGTCTGTGGTGCTGGCATGGAAGCTTGCTTCCCCTCTCTGCTCCCAGCCATGTGAGGATGCAAGAAGTTGGCAGTGTACAAACCAGAAGAGGGCCCTCACCAGAACTCAAAATGCTGCCCCCGCCCCCCCAATCTCGGACTTCCAGCCTCCAGTCTACAGTATTTTGTTATAGCAGCCTGAGCCTGAATGAAGTAAAACATTAGCAAAAATCAAATAGGGTCTTTAGGTAAATGGTATTGGGCTAATGTGAATGTCCTGGTTCTGATAACTGTACTATAGTTATGTAAGATGTAAATACTGAGGAAGAATGGGGGAGGGACATATGAAAACTCAGTTCTTACAAGTTTTCTGTGTGTCTACAAGTAGCTCCAAATAAAAGAATTTTTAAAAGACCATGAGGTATTCAAGGGCAGAGTTAGGTGTCCTCAGTACATCCAGAATCTTTCCCCTACTGGTGGCTCAATTACATGTGATATAATGAATGGATAAGTAAAAAAATGACTGACAAGTTATGGTACCTAATGAAGTACTAAGCATGTATAGACAAAACAATAAAAATGCTGTAGGTTGAAGTTATTTCATGTATAAAAACAACAGATTAAAAACAGGAAATGAATCTTAAACTGCAAAACTAAGACCTAGGAGGGATCATGAAACACCTTAGGTAAGAGCTTGCAGGAGCTAAAGGAACTTTGTAAATGCTATGGGATGGTTGGGGAATTATACAAAGATGTAATTATCCTACTTCAATCATTATGTATTTACTAGAGACCAGGTGCATGAAATTTGTGCACGAGTAGGGTTCCTAAGCCTGGCCAGTGATCAGGGGTCTTCCTTCCCTAGCCGCCGGCCAGGGCCTTCCTTCATTTTGTGCCACCCCCTGGTGGTCAGCGCACGTCACAACAAGCGGTTGAACTCCTGGTAAGTCGAACTCCCAAGGGGACAATTTGCATATTAGCCTTTATTATATAGGATAATCCTGGGTGACCATAGCATAATACGGAGATAGACTAATTTGGGATGGAAAGAAGATCCGAAGTCCTAAACAGCTAGTTTAGGGTTTCTTGGTCCCAGGCTTCCAGAAAATATACTCTAAAATATCTATATATATATAAAAGGCAAATACGCAAAGTGTCCCCTCGGGAGTTCGACCTGGGGACCCGGAGTTCGGTCGCTCACTATGATGTGTGCTGACCATGAGGGGGCGGCACAGAACGAAGGAAGGCCCCAGCCAGCAGCCGGAAGGCCCTGATTGGCCCTGATCGCCAGCCAGGCCTAGGGACTCTACCCATGCATGATTTTTGTGCACCGGGCCTCTAGCATTCCTGTGATTTGAATTCCTAGTAAGGTGACAGCTTGTAACCTGATCTACCTCAGGATGTTTTTTTCCCCCTAACAATTACCTGAAATTGGAGGCAGATAATCAGAAAGTTGGAAAAGAGTCCTAGCCAGTTTGGCTCAGTGCATAGAGCATCAACTACGGACCGAAGGGTCACGAATTTGATACCAGTCAAGGTCAGGTACCTCGGTTGCATGCTTGATCCCGGCCCTGGGCACGTGAGGGAGGCAGCCAATGGATGTGTCTCTCTCACATCAACGTTTCTCTCTCTGTGTCTTTCTTCCTCCCTTCCACTCTCTCTAAAAAATCAATGGAAAAATATCCTGGGGTGCCCTGACTGGTATGGCTCAGTGGATAGAGCATTGGCTTGCAGACTGAAGGGTCCCGGGTTCGATTCAGGTCAAGGGCATGTACCTTGGTTGCGGGCACATCTCCAGTGGGAGGTGTGCGGGAGGCAGCTGATCAATGTTTCTCTCTCATCGATGTTTCTAACTCTCTATCCCTCTCCCTTCCTCTCTGTAAAAAATCAATAAAATATATTTTAAAAATATATCCTGAGGTGAGGATTAACAGCAATATAAAAATGTTGGAAAAGAGCCCTCAAACTGATGAAACGTGTATGCCCTCCCATGCTGCTCGCCACAACCAGTATGGAGAATTCATTGTTAAAAGTGCGCTGCCCAGCTCACAGTTCACAGCCCAATCACAAAGCTATCACTCTAGATCAGTGATGGCGAACCTATGACACTTGTGTCAGAGGTGACACGCGAACTCATTTTTTTGGTTGATTTTTCTTTGTTAAATGGCATTTAAATATATAAAATAAATATCAAAAATATAAATCTTTGTTTTACTATGGTTGCAAATATCAAAAAATTTCTATGTGTGACATGGCACCAGAGTTAAGTTAGGGTTTTTCAAAATGCTGACACGCCGAGCTCAAAAGGTTCGCCATCACTGCTCTAGATCAAGCATGTCAAACTCAAAGGTTAACACAGGCCAAATAAACAAGGTTTAAGTTTATGTGGGCCACAAAAAAACAAAAGCTCAATTTTCATAGAAACGTAGGTTTATTTTGATTAGAGGCATGTTGAATACAAAAGGCTGAAATAAGTGAGCAATTGTTGACATACAATAATAGAACGTTTTAATAAAAATTAATATTTTCTCTTGAACATTAACTTACCAGACACTGAATAACTGCACAAATTAATAAGCATAATGCAAATAAACCTATTTTTCTTGTTCTCCGAAAGTGAAATCTTTCCTGTTGCGCACACCAAACGAGTCAGTACAAGACTAATGACGTGGCAATCAGCTGCTAAAATATTTGCTGCTGGTATTAGTGGAGAGAAATGGTGCGCCTGCACGTAAGGGAAATGAATGCAACACCATTATAGTAATCAGTCATTAGTGAACGTTGTAGTTCATTATTAATAATTATGTATAACAGGATATTGTAAAAATTAAGCTATGAAATTTTTATTAAAATGTTTCTTACATGCTGTTATATTGGCTGGGCCGCAAAAATATTCGTTGTGGGCCGCAGGCGGCCTGAGAGTTTGACACCCTTGCTTTAGATCCTTTAACCATCAAGAAAACATTATCTTAAGGGAAAAATAAATTACATGGCAAATAAACCCACAGGTAAGGATTTAAAAATGAAAAATAAAGACTCTACAAATCTTAACAACTTCTGATAAATATTCAAATGTAGTCATTTTAAGTAATTATGTGAAAACGTTGAAAAACCAGAGTTACATACATATATCTCATATTTTTACTCCTTTAACTTGAATTCAACTCTAAATTGCTTGAAATCATTTATCTCAACCAATGAAACAAGATGGGAAAAGGAGGGAAAAGCATGCAAAGCAGGGTAAGAAATAATCCCAGGATCAAGCTACTTGTCTTAGCTAGCAATGTAATGGTTCCATCCATCTATCCAACTTTCCATTCACTTTCTTGTTCGGCATGCAAGCTTAAGATCCATAAGCCACCGTCACAAAAAGCTTGTGGGTCTTTTGGAAGAAGTTTACAAAACACCACGGGAATTCTCCAAGTTTATCTATGAAGTCCCATAGGAAGCCAACTCTAACCACGCACACTTCTTCCCTGCAGCAGGGTTTGGCAAACTATGGCCCACAGGCCAAATTTGGCCCAACGCCTGCTTCTGTAGAACCCATGCACTATGAATGGCTTTTACATTTTTTAATGGCAAAAAAAGAAATCAAAAGAAGAGTAATATACCTCCTGACATGTGGAAATTAAATTCAGATTTGTGTCCACAAACAAGTGTTACTGGAGCACAGCCACACATCCACGCTGCCTGAGGCTTTGTGCTACAATGGCTGAGCTGAGTGGTTGTAACAGAGACCGTATGAAAGATTATCTGCCCCAAAAGTTTGCCAAAACCTGCCCTATATTAAAAGTTTTGCTAATTTGCCTTGAAATAATTGGCTTTAGCTATGTAGCTTTGCACAAGAAACTCCAGATGGTTTTACTGAATACCATCTGAGCAACATAATAGAGAAACTATTGTATCTCATTGCAGATAAGCTAAAAGCCAGCATATCCCGATGGCATTTTGGGGGAAAAATAAACAACTATATTTTTTAACAACAAAGTAGTTCGTCCATCAAATCACTTTACCATTTCCAGTGGGGAAAGTTGTTACTTGCCTTACTGCTTCTACCTCTTAAGATGCCCAAAGTCCTCCACTTATAAACAAAACATGCCAGGATATACGTGTATCCTTTTCTTGAAAGGGCCAGAAGAAACAAAATACCAGGCGGCGCAAGGCAGGGGCTATCGGTCACTTTTTGGCGTAATCAGCAGACATGAGAGTAACCTGCAATGCTACCTTCTGCCTCAGAATAAAGTCTTCAATATATTCTCCGGACCTGAGCTTTTTAGTAGAAAAATTTTCATACATATAGAAAACTAAAAGAATAGGTCAATGAAATGCCTACAAACTTTGCCTAGATTAATAATCACATGCTCAATTAATTACATGCTGTTATCTTTGTTTCTTCCATTTCTGCACCTGTCCTAGGCAGAACAGTGACTGAATCTTTAGGAACTAACCTGCAGATCATCGAAACACTTCACCCTAAATACTTTAGTGGCCAATACCAGAATAATAATTTTCAAGGAAATACAGATTTTAAAAAAAAACTTTAGAGAGGGTAGAAAAACATGAATTGGCGGGGGGGGGGAGTCTCTTCCCTATACCCCCCCACAACAAATTAGTGAAAATACAGGCAACCTCCCAAACCCCAATAATACACAGAGCTAACACTGGAATGTTGGCCAGAGACCACAGGAGTCATCTTGATTATCAGCACGATTATCAAGAGAGACCAGGACAGCTCAGCCTCCACACTCCCTGACTTCTCCTTCATGGAGACCACACCTCTGCACGTACCTGAGGGCTGCAGCGTGGTAGGTGTCTACATAATCAGAAATGAAGAGCTCTCGGTTCTTGATAACTGGGTCTGTAATAACAAGTTCTCTTCCAGAGTCTGTCAAAAAATCAATTCATGAAGAGGACATTAAAACTGAGTTTCCCAAAACAATTAGGAAAATCTTACAAAATTTTTCTTTCAGGGTCACCTCCCACTAAAGAAAGCACAATAAATAACCAGGCCTGGTCAGCAAAACAAAACAGAGAAGAGGAATAATGTAGAGCAGAAATAACAAAAACAAATATTCTGCTGGGTGTGTTTTATACCTTTTACTAAAGTTCCCACAGTTTGCTGAAATGCAATAAGCACAAATTTTTTTTAAAGGGAAGAACAACTATTGCATTTTAGCAATTTGTAAACTACTAAATATTTAATCATCCTGTCCATCTTATTTTTTATTGCTAAATAGTCCAGGATGAAGTGAAATCAAGTGTTTCCATGGAAAAAGAATAAGTTTTAATAACAAACCATAATTTAACTGCATTAAGAGAAATTTTTATAGCTTCAAAGGAGAAAATAAGTAGTAAGATGGGAACGAATATCATTTTATCATTCTTCAAAACTATTTTTGATGATGGTTGGTCGAATGAAAACCTATCACCAAAAGCAGTGTGAAGAGTGAAGGGCACAGACATCAAGGACAGAGCTGGCCTTGGCAACTTCCTCAGGCTCTCTAAGCCTCATCTTCCTCATCTGGAAATGGGGAGCGACATATAATTAATGGGAAACAAATGTGAATCAGCTATCATGAGGTCTAGCGCCTCTCAAAAAAATCAATGAAAGGGAGCCATTATACATCTGAACAAATGTAATATACATTTCATGTTCACATCTTATGTGTAAATGGAGTTATTGGGCAGACACTACAGTGCCAGGGGAAGAAAAAAGATGCTTGAACAACCTTCCTATTGTTCTGAAAGTCAAGATGCAAGCTGAATTCCAAAACATTCAGGAAAGCTTTGCTTTGAAACTGAAGTTCAAACCCTGAATACAGAGAACTTCAATGATACAGACTCTGTTGAAAAAGAGGAAAGAAATAAAATGCAATCCTGTAGGTTATAAGCATTATTAGTTCATCATTAGGCAAGAAAAAGAAATTACTGTCGTTTCCAAAAAAGACCTATCTCCATGCGAGTTTACAAGGAAGACGTCATATTCCCTTTAAAGGCAAAAATAACGAAAGAACTCAGCAGAAAGTGACTATTCCACTAACGTCCTCTTTATAAGAAGCTATTTTAGAAACAATGTTCCTAGTAGTGATCTCCATTTAATAAATGTTTTCAGAACAAACTTTGTCCAAAGCTACGAAGGGCATATTTACCGTTTTCATTGTGTCGATCCTGAACCAAATGCTGATACACAGAATCTGGAACTTCAGACTGACGGTAGTACCATTTGACGTTCATGAGTAGGTGGTCCCTCTTACTCTGAAAAGGAAAATCTAACAGCATTAGGAACAGGGTTTCAGGTGCCCACAGCTGCATACCATACCCATGAACACAGTCCCTGGAAACAGATGGACAGGCCGAGAGGGAAACACACAATTACCACCAGAACCACAAAAATACATAAGTTAACGAGGTCAAATTTTATTTTTTCTAAATTACAGCCACAGCACCCCCTCTGATCTGATCCCTCAAAGTTGTTCATTAAAGGGAAACAAAGGAGAGCAAGCTTGAATCTATAAATATCCCCAGTTTAACTTATTCAATGTTATATATTTTTATTTGGCATTAACTACATAGTTCTACATGAATACATGCTCTTCTCTTAATTTTTGACCATTTTAAATATTTATTAACTGTGTTATTTACAAATATTTATAAACACTGTGAAGCCATTAAGGGCAATACGTTACGAAGAACTTACCAACAAGGCCTGGCACAGTCATCTCTCCAGGGTTCGCTAATCACCCAGACTGAGTTACATTCTCCCTCCGCTTTCCTGCCACTTAATTTGCAGTTATTGCTACATGGCAGACTAACACAGCAAGCTACGAGTAGTGATGAAGGTGCTGAGGGTCCATGAAACATGGACCCTGGCTTATTTATCTTTGAATTAGCAGAGAATTAAACACCGTGTATATAAGTATTTGTGAATAATGAGAGTTCTATGACAATCAGGGTCCCATAAATGTTTGAAAAACAGGTAACTTTGTTAGCTATAAAAGTTAACTTTGTTCCTAGTGCATTCAAAGAACACAGTATCAAACGCTGCCCTTCCATTTGAAGGCTACGCCATGAGGTACAACATCTGTGCCACCGGCTGGGAAACATCTCAACATGCCCGCACACTAGGCTCATCAAATAGCTTCCCAACCAGTGAGGGCCTTGGGACACTGCCCAAGGTGAATGCACTATAACTCTTCTTAGCAGCTTCTTCCTTGTCATCACAGGTCAGCGGGTCAGAAATGAATGAGCACTTCAATCTGAGAAATGCCTCCTGTTTATAAAGGAGATGGCTAAATTCTCAAATATGTCAGTGGAGCCTTCATTATGCTTCCTGCTTAAATGGCGTGTCTGTGTGTACACATATATACTATATGAAAAATGTATATATTCTTCACTGAAAGGCCAGTAAGACTAAAAACAAACAAAAAAACCTTTAGTAGAATATTTAAGCCATTTAAAGAAACAGAAAGAAAAACTACCAAAAGTCTTGACTCTATGCAAATGTGAAGAAATCTATTCCTAAGTAAATATAAACACCCACATTCTTCCTTTACAATTAATTGTTCCAAATAGACAGGCTTATAAAAACAGGACAGCATTACTGGTTTCAATAAAACAGATTGTATGGAAAAACTAATCCTACATAATGTGTATCTTTACTTTCTATCCAATTTGCACTTTATATTCCACACTGTTTATACTGCAGGTGGGAAGATGAGGACAAATCAGTATGTTAAGTAATAAGAATGAATGTTACATGTAGGAGGTTATGGACAAGAGCAATTACTTCCAGCAGGGAATTATGAAGGAGGTAAAATCTAACCTGGGAAGATGGGAAATATTTCATTGGATTCTTTCTAGGTAAAGGATGACACCCAAGAAAGATATAAAGAAAGAGAAAATACAAGACATATCCACATGCACATGGTCCATCTGTGTGCAGCACAGAAAACGTTCTGCGTGGTGCTGAAAAGAACCTGAATCCTGTCGGTAGTTTGGCCTCCAGTGGGGCCCACTAGCCCACTGCTGAAACAAAACACAGGAGAGCAGCCAGAGGGCTACAGTTTCGTTCCTAGACAAGGTAATAAAAAGCAGGCCCAGGATGAGAGCACTCATCACGGAAACAAACCAGGTGGAGGGACAGTCTGGTTGACGCATTCGGGGCTAAAGCTCACTTAAGTAAACATACTGTCTAATACAGGGCCCCTCCACCTCAGCACTGTTGCCATCTGGTCCAGCAAGGCCAGTGTGGAAACCTGTCCTGTGTACTGTGAGCAGCATCCCTGGCCTCCAGATGCACTAAATGCCAGTAGCACCCCTCCCCCTCACTGTGACAACCAAAAGTGCCTGCAAGCATGGCCAAATGTCCTCTGTGGGACAAATTACCCCCAGTTGAAAACCAACGGTCTAGCAGTTTCCTTTTTAATGAAAGCTAAATCAGAATGGTAAGACTAAAACCTAGGTCAAGAACTATCAGGTGAAGAGCATGGACCACAGGCCACAGAAACAACCTTTTAAAGGTACCATAACTGGCAACTGTACAATGTCTATTTTTCAGAACCACGGCAGTGATTCCTGAAGTATAATATTTATGTTATCTTCTGACCCAAACAGTTAATTATCACACACACACAAAATTACTGTTCTGGTTTCTTTGTACCTAGACTTATGACTCCTAATGTTAGTTGACAGAGGCAGCGGAAGCCTATTGGACTTTCTAATGCAGTACTACTCAATAACCAGCGAGCGGCAGCATTGCATTAAAAGCCTCCAGACACTTGATTGCACAGATATAACACAACAAAGGTACTAAAGTAAACTTAAGTAGCTGAAATAGATACACTCTTCCTAAATAGATCAGAAATTTGGTTATAGATTAAACATCTATAAAGGGAGGCAGTAAATTGTTCCAGAGAGTACTAAACTGACATTAGGTAATCCGGGGGTCCTAGGCCTGTCTGCAATCACTATTTTATTGGGGTAGGGTGGGGGGAGGGTTGACCTTAGTGGAGTCACCAAGCCACATGACAAGTGAAGGGACAGAACAAAATTATTTCTACGCTCCCATTCCATCTTGCTTATACTTAGATTTCTTCCCCAGACAAAACCAAGTAGATAAGATGGGATTAGGGGTGTTTTCTCTAAATCAACATAATGGCATCAGCCAACATTACCACCCTAAAAAGGTTTTACAAATTAAAACGTCATCTGCCATGGAAGCTAGCTGCAGTGCACGGAGGAACACCAGAGGGGAGCAGAGAGTAAACCCCTCCCCCACAAAGCTCCAAAGCCCCTCAGACACAGGGGTGCTGCTCAAATGTGAACCAGAGGAAATCATCTCTTCCTGCTACTCGCCAGTCAGATTCTGCTCAAAATCACAGAAAATTAAAGGCAGAAGTGACCTCAAAGGTTACCTGATTCAATCCAAACCACCTGGGTTTAAATCATGGCTTTGCAACTTACTAAGCTGTGTGACTTCGGGCAAATGACTCTTCTAAGCCTCAATTTTCTCATATGTAAAATGAGGAAAAAATAATAGTCTCTAGCTCTTTGGGTTGTGAGGATTAAATAAATGAACATAAGTAGAGTGGGGTGGCTCTCAATAAATGCTGGATATTACCACCACTGTTTTACAGATGAAAAGAGAAGTCAAGCTATAATAAGAAGTGGCTTATAAATTTGCTTTCTCCAATACAAAAAGCAGGCTAGCAATAGCAATAAAAAAACAAATCATGTAGCAAATTAGGTGGATGTATCTTCGGTTTTGTAACAATTCAAGAAGCATATCAAGTATATCTGACAAATATGCCTCATTATTGACTAGTGATATAATTGTACAACTGCATAAAGGTCAAAGTGGTTATAAATGACACATTTGAAACGGAATGTGGTGAGAAGCTTCCTACGTGAAGGCACCCTGGGGTATATTTCTGAATACAGAGAAGAGCCCACTGGGAAGTAAATCATTTCCCACCATTTTATCTTTAAAGAGAGGAGAGACGATTGATTCTGTCTGAGTCCAGGTGGTTGGAAGCCAGCAAACAGGAGCCCCTCCAATCTACTTAAAATAGTTTCAACAGCAGTGGCTCAGGGCAAAAAACGGGGAGCTGCTGATTCTGGGTTAAACTGTGAATTCTTCCACATGCCGGGCCAGGATTTCTTTGAAATGAGGGACTGTGTAAATTTAAGGAAATAAAGAGTTTAACAGAAGACAAACCCATCCCCACCTGGGTTTAGGAAAAAACTAGCCTAAGTGTTTGGGAACAGAGGAGAACATCTAGAGCTTTGAATGCCAGCCAACAGGCTGAGAATTAATGAGTTAAAAATTCGGAACTGAAATTAAACATTCAGAAGGAGATCATGAACAAAGGGAGAAAGTAGGCAGTGGAGACGGGAAAGCAAACAGGAGGCTGCAGTTAAAGGGACACTGATTCATTTTTATCAACACAACCATCCCAAATACAAATACAAGATCCAAGGCCAGGATCTTCCACACAGGTTTTTCATGATGATTTATATAGTAAGTGCTTCAATTGATTTAAATTGCCAATCTGAGTCTTTCCTAGGAGCATTATTATCATCCTCTGGGAAAAGGTTTTAACGCGTTAAGAAATAAAGGAAGCACAGGGAGGCGGGTCGGAAGAGAAGGACAGGAGTGCAGAAATGACCGGCAAGTGCAGAGATTCTTCCACATACGGAGGAGGCCCCCAACGCAGAATGGGAAGAACAATACTTTAAATTCACCTGCGTTAGAGGAAATACCTTTTTAGCCCCATAAGTCACCTACCAGGTCGTGGCAGATTCCGTGAGGGGACCCGAAGCCCTCCCCACAGGCCACGCCAGTCCCTCTGCTGTTACCAACTGTGACAGAGACCTGGTCCCAGACTCTAACCAGGGTATGAAGATGCTTCATCACGTGAACAGTTTCACAAACCCAAATTTAATTTCAGCTGCTCAGTTCTTGGGATTTTACATTTCAAAAAATAAAAGATCTAGATACAGTTTCGGGTGAAATCAGACCAAATTTCTTGTTTTATAAAGCCGAAGAGCCAATAAAATTTTTCCAGAAACTTGGGAAGTTGAAGTGGCTTAACATTTGCATACAGTATGGTTTAAAAATACACCTTTTGAAGAAACTTTTCATGCATTTCCACAAGATGCTCATAATAAGGTTAACAGCTATAGAAGTCTTAGAGTTTACCGTGTAATTCAGAATTGTCTGCTGAGACTGCCAGAGGGGGAACAGCCCGCCAGAG